TTCAGCAATAAGTGATCATTTCATGGCAATATTAGCATAAACACTGAATGCTGATTTAGCCAAAAATAGGGATTCATGGAACTAAATTCTCTGTATCATAATTATAAAGAGATAATATTCAACATCAGTACATTCAGAAATGGCAACATAAGTATATGCATACTATTTAGGTATATGGAGGTAAATACCAGAAGAAAAAGCTAAGAGTTGAAAACAGTTGCTTCTTTGGATGAGTTGTGCATGAAGGTTGAAACAGGGAATTGTTATTTCTTATATACCTTTTAGTACTCTTTGACCTCTTAAGCTATATACATGCATTACTCTAATGAAAAAGAAAAACTATTTTTTTAAGAGCTAATAAATAAGAATTCTTGTTTGCCACAAAACAAGAGTTCAAAGGAGCACCGGAAAAGGAGGAAGTGGGAGACAGATGAGGATGCTGCTGGGAAACGATAGGCCCCAAAACAGATAAAAATTAAATTTTTGGAAGGCATAGCAGGGGACAGAGGTCTGGACAAAAGACACTCATTTTCAGCAACAGGGGCGAAGAAGGCAATTCATCTAGAGAGAGACATGAGCCATGTGTTAGGGAATAGGCAGAACTGCTGAGTTTATAGAGCTAAACAGCCCAGACATTCCATCATTAGTGAAAGATTTATGTTAAATAAACATTGTGGCAAGCCTTCTGGATACTTGCCAGGGAAAAAAAACACCTGACATTAAGATCTGTGCTGCCTTGATGTTGATAAAAATTGAATTTTCAAATGAAAAGCATTCACATTGGAATCTTTTCCTTTGGCAATAGCAGTATCCAAGTAAGCAGGACTGTTCTTCCAGTATCTTCCCATGACTCCTAATGGTTTCCTGGAAGCCTCAAGCCAAGTGGAAAAAGAGTTGTATATATGATATACATAATTATTTGAGTCTTTCTTACAAACACCACCTGTATGACAACTTGTAAAATGAGTTCCCTGTCACTAACACATGTGAAATTATCTGTTTCTTGTTAATGGCAGGGAAATGATCACAGTGTGTTATTCTTAATGTCCCCAGGAAGGAAATGTGATCAGTGATGTTTTGAATTTGATACTAAAATGATGATGATTCTAGGGAGAACCATGGAAAACACACATAAGTTTTCTAAAAACTATTTTGAAACCATGTTTTTGGACATCTGATTTTCAAAAATATTTTAATATCTTTTGTTTTGTGGAAAGCACTTTTGTTTCATTTAAAAATATCATTATAATGGGAACCAATTTCTTATATTGATGCTTGGAAAGATTTGTGGCCTGGGATTGGGAGGGGAAGAAGGTAGAGATTTGAACATTCATTTAAGCATCTACTATGTGCTTGGTACATAGAGTTGAAAATGATTGCCTCCTGGGATCAGGTGTGCGTGGAGCCAGGTACTTTACATGTTTTATCTCATTGAACTGTATTGTAGACACACTACACATTAAGTATGATTGGCTCACTCTTTAAAGCCCAGGTCAATTCCTGCCTCCTCAACAAAGCTTTCCTTGACTTCCCAGCTGAAATTAATTTCTTCTCTCTTCTGTTCCTCTTTTATGACAGAAGACACTTTGCTTTGTATTATGTTTTATGTGTTTGCCATTTCCCCTATTAGGCAGTAAACACCTATAAGAAATGTGATAATGTTTTACTCACTTTAGTATTTTTCATAGTACCTGGAATGAAGAGGGGTCTCTTTTATAGATGGGCAAACAGGTTCAGCCCAGTTAAGTCAATTACTTCAGTCCAGTTAAATCAATCACCTAGGAGCCTATAGCTCAGTACAATCAGCTTTTACCACCCCAAATAACTGAATTGAAAGTCTAGGTTTTTCCCACCTTATTTTGCTGTCTCCAATTGCAATTTAGCTCTAAACACAAACTAAAAATGGGCCAACCATTAGTTTGAAAAGAGCCTAACTTACTTCTGCTCTATTACCCTTTAAAGAGACTCTTCTGCTGTGTGGAAGAGACATATAAACAGCAAGCAGCCTAGGTGAATGGACTCAACCCCTGTCATCCTTTGTCTATGGGATCTGGCAACCAGGTTACTCCATCTTCACTCTGACCCGGAATGGATCTAATCCCATGTAACCCATACAAGTGGAATTATGAGCCCTAAGCGTCCTACGAATGGATCCAATCCCATGTAACTCGTCGGAGTAGAATTACTAGCCCGAAGCTTCCCTGTTCTATTTTCAGCAGCACTTCAACTTTATCTTCATAAACTATTGAAAAACTGGAAACAATATTATCTGTACAAAAAGCCACCAGCATTGAACAAATCTCAAACGGGAATATGAATAATAAAATAGAAAGCAATATATTAGTTATCCAACTCTACCCATTTTCTAGACAATATCTGTTCTGGTTCAATATATTATTCATTGTACTGAGCTAATGAAAGAATATAGGTAGCATCACTATTGTCACTGGTCAGGATTATTAATCTATTATATTATTTTCATCTCTGATCACTGGCCCTCACTCCGTTCTTACTGACATTACTCTAGCTTGTTTCACACTTAGACTATTGAAATAGCATCTAAAATCTCTCTGTAAATCCTTCTCTGTGGCATTTTTTCATGTTGTAACTTATAGTTTATGAAGCACTTTCAACATATAATTTCAGGTAGTCTTTCCATCAATCCTGTGAAGGAGACATTACTACATACATTTCATAGATGAGAAAGTTAGTGGTTATAAAGAACACACAGCTTGAAAGGTACAGAACTGGAACTAGAACCCAGGTCTTCCTATCTTGAAGCGCGTACACTTTTTGTATATCACCAGCACCTTCCCACTAGCAGATTAGCAGACTAATCTAGTGCTGTCTTTATGTTTACACTGTCGATCAAGGACTCTCCACATCACTGATTCGACTTCAAAAGGAAACTCTCAATAAGCTGAAGAGTCAGGCTACTACTATGTATGATGTGTGGCTGCTCCACCACATGCTAGCTGTGCAAGCCTTTGCAAGTAATTTAACCTCTCTAAACTTTAGTTTCCCTATCTGAACAACAAGGTTAACAATGATACCTTCTTCATCTGATCACTGTGAGAAGAAAATTAATCAATATGCCAATCTATCTCGTACGAAGTTGCTAGGATTAACCTCCTAGAGCACACCTATCAGCATTGTCTTACTTAATAACCTTTGCTCACTCTGCACTGCTTACCAAATAAAGTTCACAATGTTAAACCTAACATTTGGACCTCTGATCTAGTACTCCTCATTCTGTCTTCCTTTGCATGGAAACCAAATCACGAATGGAAAACCTATTTCTTGAGCCCAAAATGTGTTAAATTCCCAAATCTATAAACTTTTTCATGTAATTCTCTCTTAAGATGTCAACTCCACACAACACCATAATACTACATATAAAAACTGGCTCACTCTTTAAAGCCCAGTGCAGTTCCTGCCCCCTCAACAAAGCTTTCCTTGACCTCCCACCTGAAATTAATTTCTTCTCTCTTGTGTTCCCAAAGCACATTGCGTATTCCTCTTTTATGACAAAAGACACTTTGCTTTGTATTATGTTTTATGTTTGGCATTTCCCCTATTAGACAGTAAACACCTATAAGAAATGTGATAATGTTTTACCCACTTTAGTGTTTTTCATAGTACTGGGCATGAAGATTTAATGTTTGTTAATAATAATTGCTACTAAAAACTAATAATTACCATTTGTTAAGTACTTACCATTGGCATTCAACTATAGTAAGTGCTTAACATACAAAATATAATTTATTCTTAGAATAATCTGTAAGAAATAGATGATGAATCTTTATTTTATAATGAGGAAAATAAGCAAAGTATTAGATTGAACCATATGAAACGGTTGTTATTTAACCAACTTTGACTCATAAAAATGACAATTTCAAATGGCTTAACCTAATAAGATGGTTTTTAATGACTCTTATTAATCCATTTAACGTAAGAAATTCAACATCATCTGGACTATGTCTTAGAGTCATTTTAAAGGCCAATATTTTCATACACAATATTCAGAGAAAAGATCATTTTAGGCCTTTTTAGATTGAACAAATGTGAATTTTAAAATCATTTCTGGTTCTTTTTAATATATGGTTAAAGTGCATATTTCAAATTTACAGTCCTTAGAAGTAATCCAAAGCACACCTATCAGTATTTTCCTGAACTATATTTAATAGAAAAGAATCAAATCCTTATGTGGACAGCCTCCTTTATTTTTTCTTATTATTTTCTTTTTGTCTTTTACTAAGAGTGGCCTATGAAAGGGTCAAATTGAGCAAGTTATTCTTTACTAGAAAAAACATCTGAAAACATACTAATGATGTTGATTCCCCATTGTTTCAGTTATTACTGTTAGTTTTAACAAGCTACAAGAAAACCTTTTTTCCTTTAACACTTGTATAACAGATGTTTACAAGATTCCAGTCTTCAGAACATTAGTCACTGACAATTTTATCCCAAGAGATTACTCCTTAGCAACTAAGTTTTAGTTTCTATTTTGTTGATGTAATATACAATGAAAAGTATGTATTGTAGCTTGACTTAATATACCATATTTTCAAAGACATAGGAAGTAATGATCAGCCTGTGAAATGTAACCATTATAATACAATCATCTTTGATAGTATCATTTGAAATTCACTGTTTATTTAAGTACCATACCTCATGAAAATATTAAATGTTTTTAAAAAATATTTAATGTTTTACAACCATTAGACCTAATTTAGAACTGAGGATCAGCTAGAAATGAGGTATTTATTAATCAATCTATGACTTCTTTCATAGATGTAATACATTAATAGACCTGAATTATTTTGTCTTCTGAGAGGAAATGGAAATCTAGTTTTAAAAATTCCATAACAAAATATCAATACCAGTAGTATAATTCTTCATATTTTGATGAAAATTTAATATGGGTACCTGTACAATGGAGTGAGAAGGGTTTAAGGGTAACGTTTCAATTTTATAAGGTATCAGTTCATTGATCTTACCTGTTCATGTATATGGCTTGATTCACCATGGCACAGCTCATTTCCAATGCTTGTAGATATTGAATCACCTCCTGTGATGGTTTGGATTTGCTGGCTAGAAAGGGATTGCTGACAGTGCGGAGAATGGATGATCTGGGGCTGTTGGACAATGTGATGATGGCACTGAACCTGAGGATAAAATTCCTAGAACACAAGCACATGCCAAAAACAGCCACTGAGAATAAAAATTACTGATCAAGAAAAAACCAACTGAAAGTAATTTAAAAAATTCAACGTGCTCCAATGGAATACTATGCAGCTGTAAGGAAGAAAGATCTCTTATCCTTTGAGATGACATGGAGGGATCTGGAAAGTATTATCCTAAGCGAAAGAAGCCAGTCAGAGAAAGACAAATACCACATGATCTCAATGATTTGTGGAATATAATATACAAAATAAGCTGATGAACAAAACAGACCCAGAGACATAGAAGTAGGGTACAGACTGGCAAACCTCAGAGGAGGGGGTGGGTGGGAGGGAAGAGATAAACAAAAAAAACGTATGTGCATATATGCATAACCAATGGACATAAACAACAATCCTATGGGGGGGGCAGGATCGTGAGGAGGGTATCAATGGGGGAAAAAGAGGAACATCTGTAACAAAAATAAATTAATAATAAAAAAAAATTAATGTGCTCTTTCACAAGATAATTGAAGTCTTAGGATTTGTAGCTTTACTAAGTGATACTAAATTTTCCTTTTTTTGATTAAATTTGTATTGAGTTTGTCAGGGTGACATTGGATAAAAAAATTATATAGGTCTAAAGAGTAAAATTCTATAATACATCATCTGTAAATTGCATTATGTGTTCACCACCCCAAGTCAAGTCTCCATCACCATTTATCTCCCCTTTGCCTTCTTCCACCTCTCCCCACCCCCTTTCCTTTGGCAGTCACCATGCTGTTGTCTGTGTCTATCAGTTGTGTTTTTTTGGCATAATCCCTTCACCTTTTTCACTCAGCCCCTCAACCCCCAAATCCCCCTCCCATCTGACAGCTGTCAGTCTGTTCTCTGTATCTATGGGTTTGTTTCTATTCTGTTTGCTTGCTTGCTTTTTTGTTTTGATCAATTTCAAATTATTCTGTTAGGGAAATTTTATTGAATTTTATTCTTATTTGATCAAGTGCCTGTGACCATCCAAATACTTACTTAAATTGGCCAGTGATTTGCATGTTCTGATTAAATTAATATTCCACTAATAGTTATTACTAAAACTGTAATGAATATTAATATTAAATCAGCCTTCTTCGATGATTCAGCAGGTACTCAGCATCTAAATGCATAATAATTATATACTACTGAAGCTCTAGATGAATTATAAAATAAGAAAATAAAAATAAGAAAATAATATAATGCAGTGATTTTCAATGTTAGGAATCACGGTGGGGGTGGGAAAAGTTCTTACACTTCTGAAAATCAAGCATGAATTAAGAAAACTATTTGAAAACTGATTGGAAATTCAGATTGAAATATATGGATTTTATCTCTGACTTTATCACTTACTACGTGATCTTGAGAAGCTGTATATGCAGTCATTATAAACCTCAGTTTCCTCATTTGTAAACGTGGAAATAGTTTGGGTCTCATTGGGTTGCTATAGGGCAGCTAACTAGAGACAAAACTGGCACTGGAACTCATGATTTCTAGATCAGAGTACTTTCAGAACATTGAGCTGAATTTATACTGTCCTTAAAATATTCTGGAACTTGCTTTTAAACTAAATCTTAGCTATCTACTTGCTCATTTGTCGCGGCTTTTTTTTTTTTTTCTCGTTAAGTATAGAGCACAGAATAAGAAAATACATCTGATTATTTCAGTTTTGGGACTTTCAGATTTATTTAAATTTCCCACATTATTTTGTTATTGTTCTACTTTGGTAACAGGTATCAGAAAGTCAGTTTTCAAAGAAAAAAATATAGATTTTGAATCATAGTATTACATTCATGCATGTACAATTAACTGTGAAAGCATAAATTCAGTGCTCTATTTTCTCTGACTGTGGAAAGCTGACCTGTATTAATAAAAGGAAACACTTCAAATCTTTAATTTTTGTATAGAACAATTTTAAACTACGTTAACTGGAAAAAGCAAGATGTGTAAGAATGAATATAGTATGCTCCCTTTGTGTAACATTTTAAAAATGTACATGCATGTGTATTTATAAATATATATGACAACTTTTAAATGCCTAGAGGAAAAAAATTTAAGAGTGACTGCCTCTAGGAAGAGGAACTGAGGGACAAGAGGACCAGGACAGAGAGGCGATTTATTCACTGTATACATTTTAAATCTCTTTTTTTATACTCTTTTTGTACCTTTTTATACTTTTTATGCCTTGAAGTTTTTAACAATGTGTACAAATGATCTTTTCATGTATATAAAAAGTATTTTGAAAGAAAGAAAAAATATATAAAGGAACACATTTTACAAATAGAAACTGCCTTGGTAGACATAGATAATAAGGATCGTGGAATCAGTTCATAGAATCATTTTCTCTAGGCTCTTTTCAAATATGAATTACTTTAAAAATATTCTAGCACTAAGATGTCTACAGTGTAAAAGTTCAGCTGTGTACTAATCAGGAACTCTTACACAAGATTGAGGGGTAAATGCATTACGTGTTCTTTTATGTTAAAAATACCTTCATACACTGGACTAGGATGAAGTCAGAGTGAAAGTCTGGGAAAACTTTCACTCAGTGGGGAGCTCGTACAGCGCTGAAAAAAATTTCCCCTGAAGAAATATGTGTTTCTTAAAAAAACAAGTTAGATCACACTTCAAAAGGACATATCAAGCTTTTTAGGATATATTCCTAGAAGTGGGATCACTGGGTCAAATGGAAGTTCAATTTTTAATTTTTTGAGGTAACACCATATGTTTTCCATAGTGGCTGCACCAGTCTGCATTCCCACCAGCAGTGTACTAGAGTCCCCTTTTCTCCACACCCTCGCCAACACTTGTTTGATGATTTGTTGATGGCGGCCATTCTGACAGGTGTGAGGTGATACCTCATTGTTCATTTAATTGTTCATTAAATGATTAATGTCATTTGAGAGGACATGGAGGGACCTGAAGAGTATTATGCTGAGTGAAATAAACCAATCAGAGAAAGACAAGTTCCACATGATCTCACTTATTTGTGGAATACCATGAACAAAATAAGCTGATGAACAAAATAGATCTAGAGACATGGAAGTAGGGAACAGACTGACAAGCCTCAGAGGGAAGGGACTAGGGGAGGACAGGAAGAAATAGACCAAAGAACTTATATGCATATATACACGACCGATGGATACAGACAACGGTGTGGTGAAGGTGGGGAGGAGGAAGTCCATGGGGGAAAATAGAGGGGACATCTGTAATACTTTCAGCAATAAAGACAAAAATTTTAAAAAAGGACATATCAATATAAAATAATAAAGAACACATAACCCATTTCTCACTCATCTTCCTTTATTAAAGTATCAGTTGCCTGCTGAGTAGAATTGTAACAGTGTCTCCCTTTGGGGTACCTTGAGGTTTTCCTGAACCTTTCGGGCTCTGACCCACTCATTAGAAACACTGCAGCCTTAAGCAAGTTTTCAGTTTCCAATTCAAGCTGAATTTTTTTTTACTGTCATTGTGATTTTTATTTACATTTCCTTAATGACTCATGATGTTGATTTTTTTTTCTTTCAAGTCTTCATCTTTATTTGTTTATTTATTTATTTTTGTTACAGATGTTTCTCCTTTTCCCCCCATTGACACCATCCTCCCCACCCCTCCCCACTGAATTTTTAACATACAAGAGATCAAACACTTCTGATTTATCATATATTTTGTCTTTTTTGACAGAGAAGAAACACAGAGTTTAATTAATATGAATTGGATAATAGCTTGCAACTGGCACCATTTTACCAGTCTTCCACAGCAAAGATCCCTTTTTTGGATAAGTCCCATCTCCTAAGAGCTAGTCTCATTTGAAGTAGTCTCATGTCACATTAAACAGGTCTGTCCACACTCTGACTTTATCCAGCTCATTCTACTGTACTTCTCTCACTGGGGAAACTCAACTACATCAAAACACTTGTAGTTTGTTCTATATTCATGGCTCCTTTTACCATGGGCAATCTCCATAGCAGTTCCAAAGAAAAGTAGAAATAGAAATGTAAATATTTAAGTTAATAGTAAGTAGCAGCAGTGTTCTCTTAAAGGGGCTCTTCTTTAATTGTTCCGGATGCAAAACAGTGATACTGTACAGGATATTCAATAATTTCCTCTAGAGACCAGATTTAGAAAATCTCTTTATTCTCTTTGAAACAAGAAGTTGGAAGCAGAATGAAATGATGCGCCTCAAACATTCCTCGCTGTTAAAATGCATCGAACTTGCCTAGCTGGAGTGGCTCAGTGGATTGAGCATCGTCCCGTAAACTGAGAGGTCCTGGTTCGATTCCAGGTCAGAGCACATGTCTGGGTTGAGGGTTTGATCCCCAGCAGGGGACGTGCAGGAGGCAGCTATTCAATGTCTCCCATTGATGTTTCTATCTCTCTCTCCCTTCCCGTATTTCTAAAAAAAAACAGTGAAAACATACTTAAAAAATAAATTAAAATGTGCCCAACTTATTGTTTTCAGCAGTCCAGTTGGATAAAGAAAAAATTATATAAGTTGATAGCTTGAGAAAAATGCCCCTTGAAGAAATGACATATTTGATAAAAATTTTTCTATTTGATATCATAATGTTCAGAAATACTTTGTTGTTCCTCTGAAGATATCTGCACTGTCCCCTTCAGACTATATCCAGCTTTCCAAGTAGTCCAGAATCTTAAAGATTTGGATGTTTATAATTCTGAGAGTTTACTCTATTTCTTTTTTCTTGGGCAACATTTAGAGTAATATTCATTAGTTCTTATAAATCCAGTAACAATTGCCCATAAATGCTCATAAAAATAAGATGTGTTCTCATGCCAAGAAAATTAAAAAGGAAACTTCAGTATATTTTAGTGTGTTACTTGTAAATGAAAAGAAATGATTGTGATCAAATGCATTCAGTATTATTTAATTGCTTGTTTTAGGTTGAATTGTGTTCCCTGCCCCCAAACAGATATGTTAAAGTTTTAACACCCAGCACCTCAGAATGTGACCTAGTTAGAAAACAGAGGTATAATCAAGTTAAAGTGTGGTCAGTATGATGGGTCCTAATCCAACATGACAAGTGCTTCATATAAAGGGGGATTCTGCACACAGAGACAGACATGCACACAGGGAAAACCACGCGAAGACACACAGAAAAGATGCCATTTAAAGATGAAGGATGTGGAACATAATAAACAAAATAAGCTGTCGACCAAATTAGATCAGAGACATGGAAGTAGGGAGCTGACTGACAGACTTCAGAGGAATGGGGAGTGAGGAGGTGGGAAGAAATGAACCAAAAAACTTTTATGCATACATGCACAATCAATGGACACAGACATTAGTGTGGGGAAGGCAGGAGAGGGGTGGGAATGGGAAGAAGGGGTCAATGGGGAAAAACAGGGTTACATCTGTAATACTTTCGACAATAAATTTTTTTAAAAAAAAATGAAGTACTAAAGTTATGCATCTACAAGAGTAGGAACACTTGAAGGCCACCAGAAACGAAGCGATAGGCATGGAAGAGTTTCTTCCTGAGTGCTCCAAAGGGAGCATGGCCCTGAAAACATGGTGATTTACTCATTCTGACCTTCAGAACTGTGAGACAATACATTTCTGTTGTTTTAAACCACCTAGAGTTTGGTACTTGGTTACAGCAACTCTAAGAAACGGATACACTGACTAGTTCAAGAATATCCAAAAGATGACTCCCAGGCTTTGTCTGGGCTGGACATGCTTGAATCCACTAAGCAGATTCTGTGGAAACCTCTGCTGGTGATGGTAATGACTCTGCTTTTATGCACAGGGGCTCTAGATGCTATGGAATTACCATCCTCCGGCTGAGTTTTGTACCCTGACCTGGTCTCTCAATTAAGCTTAACGGAACTTTTAAAATGTCACGTGAAGCTTCACTTCTCTAGATCTATCACAGTATACAGTATTTTCTGTGTCTGCTCATATATATTCATTTAGCATTTTATTTGGTATTAGATGAATTATGATAAAATTATAATGTTTTAAATTATGATTTTTTTTGTGAGACCAGTTTAAAAGAAATGTACAAAGCATGGGCTATCTGTATTAAGTTCAGATTCTATCATTAATTTTCTATGCAAGTTGATAGATCTTTACTTCAGCTTCCCGTTAAGTATAACAGGGACAATAATACTTCACATGAGAAAATGGATATGAAAGTGTTAAGGATGGGCCTGGCCGGTGTGGCGCAGTGGTTGAGTGTTGTCCCATGCACCAAGAGGTCACTGGTTTGATTCCCGGTCAGGGCACATGCCCAGGTTGTGGGCCTAATCCCCAGTGGGGGGCATGCAGGAGGTGGCCAATTGATGTTCTCTCTCATTGATGTTTCTCTCTCTCTCTCCCTCTCCCTTCCTCTCTCTCTAAAAATCAATAAAGAAAAAAAAAATTAAAAAGAAAGTGTTAATGATGCTATGAAGAGCTGTAGACATACTAAGATATTATTATGACTCAGTGGTCTTGCCTAGCACTTGACATTTAAATATCACTTTAGCTCTACTAAAATATTAATAGTTCAAAAGTGTACACTCACAAAATAAGTCTTAAAAAAAATTTACATACCTGATCCGTATTTAGCTTCTCCACTTTTCTTATTGTTTTTTCATAAATAACATTGTTTCCTGGGAAGAAATGGCCTCCTCTTAGGAACGGAGACAGTGGTTCCTATAAAGAAAGTAAAAACTGTGTTGTGCTTTGAAAGGTACCTTTTCAGGGAAATGGTAACTTAAGCAAATATCCAGTCTCTAATATACTCTGAGGCAGTGGCAGACTTTAGGAGAACAGTGGAATGATATTCCAATAAGGTCTGAGAGATTTAAGGAAATAGTCATAAATAGGAATATTTTCTCAAACAGGAAAATCTGGATCTCTCCTGCTACATTTAACTAGGCCTAATACAGTGTTTTGGGGGAAATTAGAAGAGAGTAGGAAAGATCATTTGCTTTGGTTCCTAAGGCAAGATATAATGAGTTTTCTCTGAGGTAGACAGGCATGAGGTCAACCTCATTTAAACTGGGTTCAATAGCAGGTTTTTCTCTATAAAAAAGTATTATTGGAGAATTGCAGAATAAATATAATTCAGTACCACTGAGCCATAAAGTAGGTAGAACTATATTAAATCATTTTTTTTTCCTGGAAGTCAATTTGGGTACCCTTGAAGTGTACCATTCTTACTTACGATTAAAATCAAAGCTAAGGCTACAACATGTGTTTTGAATACTGATATTGGAGAAGAGGTTTTAAGAGCCACTGTATCTCCATATAATCAACTAAATTGACGTAGTATTATCTTAGAAGATGCCATCCAATGAAGTAAAGGCTGGTGACAAGATCTGAAAGAAGCCAGGGAAGAACTAATAAGAATCAGACCGAGAGTGTGAAATAAATGTAATGTGTACTATATTCCTTTCCCTTCTTTTGGTTTTCATGAGTCTTTAATTTGTAGAGGGGAAATTGGAGTTGTTTTGTTCCAAACCCAAAATTGCACTGCCCTGATTTTGGGATACAGGGAAACAGTTTAGAAAGGGATTGGCCAAGCCTGTTACCAGTTAATGTGTTTAGAACCACTTCAAAACCAACAAAAGATTCTAATATTTTTTTTTCGTCTACTATTGTAAAATACCTTAGAACAACAGAACTAAAACTCTGGTTGTTGAGAATCCAGGACACCCTTGAACCCAAAGCTATGTACTTATATTCACATTTGAATAAAGGGTACATTAACTAAATGTTCCTGGGAAACCTAGGTGAAAAAGCACAAAAGTGATTACATTTGAGTAACTGATGAATTATTGAATGTAAATATGGATATTTTTAGATAAATCCCCCTTGAAGATATTTTATATTTCTGTTTCTTGGAGGGAAATAGGCTCTTTGGTAGGTATCCGCAATCATGTAACATGTTGAAGATGTTACTATGCATGATATACTTTGCTCAATTTTATAAAGCATGAATTGAACTTAGATTATTAATAGGAACATTGAATATTTATCAGGGTTTATCAAGCTATAGCCAGCAGCCTGTTTTTGTGACATCCTCAAGCTAAGAATGGTATTTAGATATTAAAGGTCTGTAAATAAAAGGCAGGACAGAGACCCTATGTGGCCAGCAAAATCCAATCTATTTACTATACAGCCCTTTACAGAAAACTTTATGAATCACTGCTCTATATGATATATACACATAAATATATGCAATACAAGGTAGAAAGCTGCAAGTGTAAGAGATACAGAGAAATAACAATGGAATGGAATTCAGAAGATACTAAAACTGAGTTTTATCTAGCAATGGTTGGGTATGTTACTTGAATCAGATGGCATTTGAGAGAAGATTAAGGTATGCTTTGGATATGAGAATATGGAAGGAAACAGTATTCCAAGTGAAGGAAACAAAATAAGTCAAGACGTCAACGTTGGAAAAGTATAAGTTGTATGTATGGACATACTTGTCAGATGGAGCTTGGTTCTGCAAGCAGTGGGAAGCCTTTGAATGCTTTGAAAGAGGATGCGAGGTGAACTTCAGGAAGAGTAATTGGAGAATGGAGAGAGTACACACGAGGAGGACAACTAGCAGATTATCCTAAATCATTAAGGACAATACTTTTCAAAGATGACTCTGAGATCTTGAACATGAGGAATGTATTATATGAACAGTGATGCCAAAAAGAAAAAGAAAAAATGTTAAGACATATTAACTTTTATGTGCTTCAGATAAGAATCCAGGTCTGATTCATACTTTTATTTCTCATAGCACTTAGCAAGGTATATAGTACATAGTAGTCGCTTAGACATGTGTCAACTTATTGCAAAGAACTAGCAAAGAGATTCTTTTACAAAAATGTGTAGGTGGGCATTCAGGTATAGATGTCCAGTACACAGCTGAAAACATGTCTGGAAATGAATGAGGATCTTATGGCTACAGTTCTAGATTTCAGAATCATATGCTTATATGTTCTAGTAAACCATGTCATTGTTGAAAAGGCATGTGAAGATCAAATAAAGAACTAGAAAAGTCTTAAGAGATACGAGAATCAGAAAAAAAAAGTCATAAAACCAAGAGAACAGAATACACTATACAGACCATACATCACAGAAATGTACACTTGAAATCTATATAATCATATTAACCAATGTTACCCCATTAAATTTAATAAAATATATATAAACAAAAGAGAAGCAGTGGGAAGGTGACTGAAGGTATAAATGATTTAGAGTACTCAACAGGCGAGAATTGCAAAGTGGATTGAATTTGGGCTACTATAAATCCATTGAATTTGATGACTAAAATTAGTACCAGCAAGTGTAATAGAAAAAATTATGGGGTCATTAAACCTGTATTCAGTTTTGCCTATACCACATACTTGCTGTGGAAACTTAGGCAAGTCATTTTCCTTCTGTGAGGCTCAGTTTCCTTATCATAGGGATAGTAATGCAGGATACTTTATATCAAGCAAAATAATATAGTTTAAAGTCCCATTCACCCATAATTTTAATGTATAAATGACATAGTTTTTAATAATATAGTAATATAATTTTTAAGATCCATACTGATTTAAAATAATTTCTGAGAATTCTTGTTAGAAATTTTCTAGGATACTAAGTTTAAACATATACTAAAGTAGACTAATTATTATCTGTCTTGAATACCACATAGCAAATGAACAGGTGATTGGATGAGAAGAGATAAATTAAACCTTTATCTTAAGGATATACATATTTTCCAAGAGGGGAAAAACAAATTTAACAAAAAGAATGAAATGTTCTTCTCTGTGAACTAAAGTTTACTGTAAATGCTGAACCATTATTATTTTTTTCCGCATTTTATTTTATTTTATTATTTTTTTTTATCCTCACCCGAGGACATTTTTCCATTTTTTGTTCAGATAGAGTGGGAGAGATAGAGAGAGAGAGACAGAGAGAGAGAGAGAGAGAGAGAGAGAGAGAGAGAGAGAGAGAGATTGACGTAAAAGGGATACATCAAGCGGCTGCACCCACACAAACCAACCAGGGCTGGGGACAAACTGCAACCAAGGTACATGCCTTTAGCGGGAACTGAACCCACGCCTCTCTGGACCACAGGCCAACGCTATAACCGCTGAGCCAAACCGGCCAGGGCTCGAACCATTATTTTTAAGAAGAAAAATGGTTTAGGTAGTGGTAGTGTTGATTCTCCCTGAAATAAGTGTGGGACATTATTTTAAATGACTTACTGAAAAAATACTTTCAAATTTAGGGGACTATTATTTTCCCAAAATCTAGAAGTTAAACCAAAAGGTACTATGAACAAACCATTCTTAGTAAAACAGGTTAGCAAAATAAATTAAAAAAGAAGTCATAGATTTCTCAAAAATGAGCTACTGGACTTTTTTACTATTTTGGCAGCTTACTTTTTTCTATCTGTACATTTCAATTGGTGCCAGATCCACCCTGAAAATTAACAGGTGTTTTCAAAGATGGCTGATCATATAATTATAATTGTTACTTTTAGGACCTCTGGTGATAGTTCTCACGTCTAACAAGGTCCATAATCTCCAACATCTACTTTACTGTTCCAAGGCCATGAAACCTTGTTGGAGGAAAAAAAGAAAGATAAGCTGATTTGGCTCAGCACAAATTTAAGTTATCCAAATGTAAGAAGAGGTCCTCCCAACCTTCATGGTCATATTTGTATCCAACATATTCTCTATAATTATTGTTAAAAATATTTTAATTTTCGCATGGCAGTGTGGCTCAGTGGTTGAGCATCGACCTATGCACCAAGAAGTTGCTGGTTCGATTCCTGGTCAGGGCACACACCCAGGTTGTGGGCCTGATTCCCAGTGTGGGGCATGCAGGAGGCGGCCAATCGATGTTCTCTCTCATCCATGTCTCTATCTCTCTCTCCCTCTCCCCACCTCTCTCTCTAAAATCAATAAAAATATTTTAATTTTCCTCAATCCTCTACACTCATGTTCCCTCATTTCCCTTACTTAAGAAAACCAAGATATAATCTATTCAGTGAGATTCCTTCATTTTCCTCCCCATTTCAAAAAATCTCTTTAATTTCTGCTCCTTCCATCTCATTATAAAGAAAGACATACTCTTTTATTTTCCTGTAATCACTTCTCTATCTGTACCTGGAATCCTATCCCCTCGTGTCTCTTTCGGAATCTCATCCCAATTGTCTTCATTCTCTGATGCTTCTTTATTCTTCCTTGTTTCTGGCTCGTTCCCTGTTTACAAATCTCTCTAATTTCCAAAATTCTGTTTTCTCCTTTAGTTATTATCCCATCTCTTCTTCTTTTGACCAATACCTTTTTTAAAAGAATAATCCTCACTTACTTCCTCCACTGCTTCTTGATATATTCACCCATTAACTTTTTACATCTGGATTTTGCCTCCAAAGGTATACCAAAAATCCTCTCTCAGATTTCATCACTGCTTTCTTAATGGTCAAACTCCATTCTCAAACATCATTCTCCTTAGCCCTTTTGTCATTTCAGACAGTTGACCACTGCCTTTCTGAATTTGCTTTAGTTACTCTGTCTTCATATCCTTCTGTGGCAGATCCTCTGTTCCCTTAAAGTAGGAATTTCTCAAGGTTCTAACATCAATCCTCTTCATTACCCCTTAGTTATCTCACCCATTCCCACAGCTACAATAATAATTTTAAGAGAAATAACTACCATGGTCTCTATCTCAAATGTGAACTTTCCCCAAGTCATTTTTAACTGCCTGTTGGGCATCATCCCTTCTATGCACCTCAAATGCTGCTGGTTCAAACAAATACAAATCTCCCCTCTTCCTAACTCAGGTTCTTCTCCCCCTAACTTCTTTGAACTTTTAATTGGGCTACCATACTCCCAAAATGTAAAACTGAAAAGCTTATGATCGTACTTGACTGTTCTTCTTTTAACCCCATATATGTTATTAAATCTTGTCAAAACTACTCCCAGAAAATATGTCAGAAAAGATGAAGAGCGATAGATTTGGAGTCAGAAACCTGAGCAAGTCACACTTATTTAAGCTTTCATTTCCTCATTAGTAAAATGATACAGATAACGATGTTAATTGCAAAAAATGCCTTAAATACCACATAAATCCTTCTCTGATTCTCCACAAACAAATGTCACCTCCAACCTCTAAACTTCAATAAGACTTCATCTGTATTTCTCTCATGGCATCTATCACACACCTCACCATGCAGTTTACATAAATATCTGTGGCTATATCTTATTTCCCTTCCTGAGAGGAATTGTAAGCTGCTTTGGTTTAGGAATCAAGTTTTATTTCCTTTTTTTTTTAATTTGAAGGCTGTACATTGCCCTCTCCAGAGCAGGAGCTCCATATTAGAAAATTAATGAAACTGATTAATATCAATTGGGCTGTCTACTTAAAGCAACAAAAATATGTGTCTCATTTGTGGGTCAAGTTATATACCATCATGCATAAATCCTTTGACTAAAATGACAATAAAGAAGGTCAGGAACAACCAAAAATGAAGGCTTAACAGAGGCTGAAAGAGATCATAATGAGAGAAGTGGAATGGTAGTTTAATTACAGGGAGGACAAGTAAAGATTAGACAAACTGGGAGGTGAAAGAAGATAACATTGTAATTAAGGCAGAATCTTCTCCTGGGTAAATTTAAAAGAACAAACAAAAAGGCATATACTTAGATAAATAAAATGGAGAATATATCTAGACAGGATTTTCAAGCTGCTCTGTAAAACTGGTTATATTATTTTTGTTTACAAAGCACCAGATTGAAATTTGTTTTACTCCTCAATAATGGAAAAAATTAAAAGCATTACAATGATTATTTTTCTTTAACCTCTATTGGATCTTCTGCCAAAGAAACAATTTGCTTCTTTGTAGTTGAACATAGCCTTAATAATAAGCAGGTGCAGTGTTACAAATATGTTATACACTTGCATACACAATTCTAATTTCTCTGTGCTTGTTTTCTCGCCTTTTTAGGATTAAATGGAATAAAATATGGAAATTGCCTAGAACAGAGTGTATTTGCAATAAATATTAATTCTTCTCTTTCTCCATTAACTAAATAATTCATCCTAAGGCATATAAGAATTGCTAGCAAAGTTGGTTGGAATTCAAATGATTTGATATTTTAAATCTCTCTGTGGACATATCCTAGGCAAACACAGCAATTCTCACATTATGAAAAAAATACTATCTAGAATTAGTTATTTGAAAGCCAGGGTTATCAAATAAAATATGCATCCTAATATGCATGTGCTCCAGTCTGCGTGAGAAAGAGGCACACTCATCTTCTAGGCCCTCCTCATGGCCTCCTCCCCCTCACAGTTTTCAGATTTGTTGCTTAAACATTTGATTCTGCAAAAGAAGGAGCAAGCAGCTGCTTTACTGTAATCATATTCTTTTGATATTTACATAGATATATGAAAACTCAAGCAAATTCCTGAAACAAGAACCCCCAACACACACACACACACACACACACACACACACACACAATTAACAGCCTCCCAAGCTAAAGAGACATAAGAAAATGATTGTAAATACATAGAGGAAGAAGAGGGGAGAGTGATTAAAGCAGAAGAACAGCGTGTCTTCCTCATCCACCTAGAATAATCCCAAATATGTTGCCCTAATTTAACCCTTTGCTTTCCACAGCTGCAGCAAAAGATCAAATGTATTTCATGAGAAAGGGAAGGGTTATTTCCTGTAATAAAAAGCAAAGCAAAGAACTGTTGTGTTATTATCTGGGGCGCACTGTTTCTACTTGTGAAACTTCTGTCCTTATAACTCCACAGAAGAACCTCATGTTGCAGCTAAAGAAGGGCCCTGTGTGTGCACGTGTGTGCGTGTGCATGTCCGCGTGTGCGTGGTGCTTGAAGAAGGCTTATTACTGTATGTGTATGGGGGGGAGTAGTTTTCTTAATTTTATCCTCAAAATTAGACAGTAATAGCTTGTAAAATATAAGGTTATATATTTTAGTAGAATATATAATTATGTAATTTTCAAAAGAGTTCATTGATAAGAACAAAAGTTCATATACCATATGCAACAAAGGCATGGGGACACTTTTGAAGGCACTTTTCATTTTCTTCTTCCTAACTTGTATCTCAGTGGCATATCTAACTAGACTAAAGACTCCAACCCCTGATGTAACAACTGATAGTTTTTATGTGAAGCCTATGAAAGAACTTTGTCCCTGTTTTTCTTTGATTCAAAGTGCACAGAAATCCTTTGTAGCACAGGAGGGGTGGGGCTATAGAAGTAGAAAGCTTTCTAACCCAAGGATTTCCATGCTGCTTGGAGCTGTTGCAGCTCTGAGTCAGAATGTATGGGCACACGGTTATCTAGAATTATGTTGACTAGGAATTAACTTTATAATCAGAAGAAAGTCCAACAATCTGATTTTAGAGATATGGTAAATGACTCACAATTCTTGTTTAAGCTATCAACTTCTAAGGAATTAAAAGGTTGGGACAAGATTTTGTGTGAGATGGATTACCTGTTCAGGATTTTGTACTATATATCTCCTAATAGTGGTCTGTGGATATGTAGTGACTTTTACTGCTGGAGAATGGAGTTCCTGCAAAGAAAAGATAAAAAATGTACATAATTATGGTTATTTAGTGACTTTGGAGATATCAATAATAATGGAAAGCAATTTGCAGGGTAAAATGTAAAGTTTTCAGCCACTTGCATACATGATGACATCTGAATTAGTGTTTTAGTTCATTTCAGTCTCAAAACATATATGAAAGCATGTTTATGTGCTCAGCACTGTGCTGGGTATTTCTACTATATTCATTTCATGGTAAATTCATTACACATCCTAAATTATATTTGATGAGAAGTTTCAAAATAGTTTTATCACAGTAAATGCTTACACATGATTAGTAAAATATGGCATAATATTTATTAATTAGATCTTCTATTTGAAAATGATATCCTATATTTTAAAAAATGGAAAGAGCCCGGCTGGTATGGCTCAGTGGATTGAGCATCGTCCCATGGTCTGAGAGGTCCCAGTTGGATTCCCTGTCAGGGCACATGACCGGATTGCGGGCTTGATCTCCAGTAGGGGGCATGCAGGAGGCTGCTGATCGATATTTCTCTCTCACATCAATGTTTCTCTCTCTCTCTCTAAAAAATAAAGAAAAATGTATTTTAAAAATATTTTAAAATGGAAAAAGATAGAAAGAGAAAAAATGTGTGTATGTATGTATACTTAAACATTTAAATCTTCAGTGTAGTGGTGGGGAGGGCCATAAATAACATTAAACGGGAGACAAAACACTAAAACAAAGTCATTTGCAAACTTGTTATGGAAAAGTGTTGATATTATTGAAACAATGAGTTATTATACCTCAATAAGAAAAAATGTTCACACTAATAGAAAAATGAGCAAATGGCATGAACATTTATAATAAAAAAGCACATGGTTATTAAATAACAAAAAGTATTTAACCAAACTAGGAATCAAATGAACATAACAAAAGAACACCATATTTTAACTAGAGAAAATTATAAAATAATTATGCTGATAGGGTGCAGTAGAAGGAGCACTTTTCTATGGATAAGGGAAAGATTAAATAATTATATATAGGTGAAAATATGTAGCCATCAAAATAACCATCTTGCCCTAGCCGGTTTGACTCAGTGGTTAGAGTGTCGGCCTGCAGTCCAGGTTTGGTTCCTGCTAAGGGCATGTACTTTGGTTGCAGTTTGTCACCGGCCCCAGTTGGAGTCGTGTGGGTGGCAACAACTCGATGTCTCTCTCTCACATGGATATTTCTCTCTCTGTCTCTCTCTCTCTCTTCCTCTCTCCCTCCCACTCTATCTGAACAAAAAATGAAAAAATGTCCTCCGGTGAGGATAAAAAAAAATTAACCATCTTGAGTAATAAAAATTTACATGACAAAAGTTCATAATATTATGTAAGGTTAAGTGAAAAATGAAAATACAAAACTGTATATAGGATATGTTCGCCATTTTTTTTTTGGACTGGAAGAAAAAATCAAAATGTTAAGAGTAGTATCTCTGGGTAGGGGAGAGGATTATGAGTGAGTTTTATTTTTTCTTCTTTATATTTTTTTATAGTGTCAGAATTGTACAATAAACACATTTTTATTGTCCGAAATGAAATATACAGTAAACTCAATTTTGATGCTCTTTTATTATGATAAATACCAGTTAATGCAATTTTATGACTGGATTTGAGTATAGGGAACAGCACTGTGATTTAAGTGGACTTACTTTTCTGAGGTAATTCTATCTTGGTGGTCCCATAGGATTCCATTTTTTCATTCATTGTAGCCTTTACCTCACTTTCTTATGTTTTGTCATATATGTGACTCATGCTAGTCTGTGAGCTCTTTAAGAATAATGATGGGATCTAATTAATCTTTGTGCAATATTTGGTCCATACTCAGCACTAAGCAAATGCTTGCTGAATAAATGCATGACTCTAACTGACCTAGCTCTAGGTTAGGTTAAATTAGGACAAGGTATGCAAACCTTTCTTTGATAATCTTATTTGTTCTACATAATACCACCTTTTCCTTACTCTATCCTAGTTCTAATGACCAATTTTTGTCCATTTGTCCCTGTACTGTCCAAGTTCACACCCTGAAACCTCATCTGGGCAGGCCTGTTTTCTTAGAGCAATATCTTTCTCTCTCTCATCCTCCAAATCCCATATACTTTATACTCTCTTCCTATGTAGTAACAAACTTTGGATGTTTTATATTTTATGTTCTTAGAATTTACTTTTTGAGATATGGTGATGAGCTCATTAAACACATATTTGATAATATGGCATTTAATTATTGTTATAGTGCCTTTTGAAGATACAATGCTTAGGCTCAAGAATAATCTTAAAAGTGAGATTATTAGGTCACAAATACTAAGGAATCTAGACTCTCGTGTATCTTTTAAAGTGTGAACTTTGTGAAAGGGTAGTTCTGATCCTGTAAGTTATTCTCTCTGAATGTAAATTAATAGTACTATCACTCACACAGTTAGAGCCTCAATCAATCCAAAATCTGTGTTACTTCATTTGTGCTCAAATCAAGAACCCTTAAAATATACATAATCACAAGGAGATCCTTGGCTAAGAATAAACTGCACTCAAACTAAAAGCAATCAGATTGAGTAGACAATGAAACTAAAAATATCAGTTCACAGCAATTATTTCAGCACTTGTCTTACATTCTTTGATAGGCTGAGCTGATGCTGAATGAGAATAACCTTTCTAGTTTTGTGTTCCTGACATCTTTGAATGTATAAAGCCTTATGAGGGCCTAAAGATTGTTTACACATGTGAGCAAAGCTTACATAAAAAGAAATAATAAAATATAATCTATAAAATATTTTACCTGTTCAGTACTTGGGGTTATGTGTAGAGTGCTTGGGGCACAAGTAGATATTTTCAGAGTTGGAGAATGGAGTTCCTGTTGAGATAAACCAAAAGCGGGTTTAGACATTGTCACCGAGCAGTGCCATTTGAATGTCTTATGTTCTTGAGGTATTATTTTCTTTATTTTTATACTAACTCAATTTATCAGAAATAAGAATGTTATTTTATGTTTTCCTAGATGATGTCCAGCTATCCAAAGAGCACATTACTGGATTCCTTTGTCAGCTTTGCAAGTAACCTAATAAGAAAATCATTTAGAGATTGCTTTCATGATAGTGCATTCTCCTTGTACTTTTCTACATTGGATCCCTTTTTTTTTTTTTTCTTTTTTGAGGACTTGACTAATATACAGCCCAATGTGTAATATGTCTGCAATTAACAAGATGCAAAATGCATCAATAAAAACGTTAAATGTAAAAATTCTCAAAACAATATAGGAAACTCCATTTGAAAACTCAACTAAACCCGACTGGTGTGGCTCAGTGGATTGAGCGTTGTTCTATGCACCAAGAGGTCACTGGTTCAGTTCCTGGCCAGGGCACATGCCCTGGTTGTGGGCTTGATTTCCAGTAGGGGGTGTGTAGGAGGCAACCAATCAATGTCTCTCTTTTATCGAAGTTTCTATCTCTCTCTAAAAAAAAAAAAAATCAATGAAAACATATTGAAAAAAATAAATTCAACTAAGACTTTAGATTCCTTCAAGCTGACACTTAATTATGCTTTGTCTAGTCTGCTTCTGGTTTAATTTCAAAGAGTAGGTTCTAATGTTTAAAAACGATCCATAAAAGTGAGAGTATGATTTTAATAATGAGTAGATAAAAGTCATTCTATTGATTATCTTGGCATTCTTGATTTATTCTCAAATCAGCAACGATGCATGGCTTTATTAGTGTGCAAAGAGTTCAAAGCATTATTATAATTTACAACCAACTGACATAACTCCAAGATATATTCCCATAACAATAAAAGTATATTTTTAGACCAAGGAGGCTATTAAAATCAGAATACGGACTTACAGAGGAAACCCTGACAGACTCATATGGAAGTACAGCTATAATGCAGGTGTAAAATGCTGTGCTTAAAACGGGACCACGCATTTACTCAAACTGCCAAAAGTTCTGCACACTGTGATTTTTCTTTTGAGTTCCCTTTGGTTCAGCCTGTAACGTTTTCATTCCCCGCTCCCTGTTACATCAAGAGCAATAATGCAAGCTTAATGTTACAAGGAAGCCTTTGAATGTGTTTCCAGATTTCCTGTTGGTAGCTGAGGAAAATTGCTTGACAAATGCAGAGAATTTTGAGAATAGACCAAACAGGTATGTGTTCTTCAGTTTGGGGAAATGGTTACAAATACAATCAAGTTCAGGTGGCTTTGGCCCTCAGATCCAACAGGAGCAGGTTCTGAGAGGTAAGAGGGAAAAAGGGTTATGCAATAGCACATGAACATATTCCAAAATAAAATTTTATACAGTTCTTCCCCCATGAAGTCAAAGACCTTCCCTTAACCATCCTTCCTGCATCCAAATCCTTTACCCAAAAGTAGCTATCATCATCAGGTGTATGTTTACATGAATATATATGTGTATAAACAATAATATTTGTTGCTTTTATTATTCTGCAATGTGAACCAAACAATATCTCTGGTGTCATAGAGTAGATGTGTCTTAATTTATTATTTTAAATTAATACATAATGTTCCATAAAATGTGTTTTATACCTTATTTATCAAAGTTTAACTTGTTTCTGGGTTTTCATATGCTGTACTGAGCATTCTTGTGCAACGTGATTATTTCTCTAAAATCCCACAAAGAAGTGGTATTGCTGGGGCAACAAGTATGTGCACTATTTGTTTAAACAGATACTGCCAATTCAATTCCCAAATGACTATACCAATATACATCCACCGGCAATATATAAAATGGCTCATGTCTAGAAGATGCTTTCCAGCAACCTTTCGTCTTTTTTGGCTGGGGCTACTAACACTAGGATCGCTTCGCGAAGACAGTTTGTGCACACTGCCTGGCACCTGGTAGGTGTTCTATAAATGGTAGTTCTTTCCCCTTCCCTTTAACCAATTCAAACATGATGACATCAGCAAATTGATGTCATGAAACTTACTAGCCAAGTTGACTAGCTTTTAAGATAAAAGAGTGTACTGTGAAGTTTCATAAACTTGCAGAAATTAACACAAATAGGTTTACATACACAATAAAAAACACTTACATATCTGTATCTATATCCATATCTCTGTCTATCATCGATCTATCTATCTATCTATCTATCTATCTATCTATCTATCTATCTATCTATCTATCATCTATCTATCTATCTATCTATATCACACCATTAAGACATTTATTTATCATAGTATAGGCTGGGTTAATTTACTTAGATACCAAAATGGTAAATATTTCATTTGCACAAAGACTAATTTGATCCTAAAATAAAAAATCAAAATGTCTTATATTTAGAAAGTTGGCAAATTAATTCCATAGATTATAAGTTAATTATTTTGATTCTTCGTTATTAGAACTGATCTAGGCAACTGTGGCTTACAACCCTCATAAAAAACAGGACACATGAGATAGCTTCAAAAAGTAAAATATTAAGGCGGTAGCTTAATATGCATTAAAGACATTAAGACATATGATGTTGCCTGGCTGGTGTGGCTCAGTGGATTGAGCATTGTCCCAAGGACTGACAGGTCCTGGTTCAATTCCCGGTCAGGGCACATGCCCGGGTTTCAGGCTCAATTCCCAGTAGGGGGCGTGCAGGTGGCAGCTGATCAATGTTTCTCTCTTACATCTACATTTCTATCTCTTTTTTCTAAAAAAATCAATAAAAACTTTTTTTTAAAGAACTATAAGGAAGCCCGGCTGGTATGGCTCAGTGGTTGAGAGTTGACCTATGCACCAGGAGGTCCCTGGTTCAATTCCCGGTCAGGGCATATGCCTGGATTTTGGGCTCGATCCCCAGTAGTGGGTGAGCAGGAGGCAGCCGATTAATGTTTCTCACATTGATGTTTCTATCTCTCTCTCTTTAAAAAAAATCAATAAAAACATATTAATAAAAAAAGATATATGATGCTGACCAACATGATCTTAAATTGTAGCAGTAGTAGGCTAAGTATAAGGTGAGAAAAGCAATCTGTACTTAAAGTTTATTGATTCTAGAAAGACTTGCTAAATAAAACCTTTTCCCTGGAAGTTGACAGAATTAGGTAAGATCCTCTGAGTAAATGTCCAAAGTGAACATTATCTTGATCATGGAAGGCACTTCAATGGTATCTAGCTCTAGGTAGGATTGCTCAAGTCATCCCACAAATAACCATTGCCTATTCCATAAGAAGTGATACAAAATGTAAATGAAGACGATGCCTTAGTTTTAAAGGCACCCCAGGAATAGGAGTCTAAATCTCCTTCTTGATCACATGTATTGGTGTTTAATCTTCAGTGTCACTAATCTGTAGATAGCTTACCTAAATCCTTCATGTTGAAATCATTAAACTCAATCAATAGTTACATCTATTGTTCTTACGTCCTCTGTGCCACAGCCCCACATTCCTTTGAACAAAATCATTAAAAGTTGGGAAAGAGGTTGTGGTGACTATGGTAATACAGTGAAAAGAGACAAAAACAGAGTCAGGAGCCCTGCATTCCACTTCTAGGTATACTACCAGCCCGCTGTGTGATATCAAACAACTCATGTCATCTCCCTGAGCTTTAGTTTACTCATGTAAGAAATGGGACATGGGTGTTGGGTTAGTGTGGATTACAGGATTTTAAGTTCTCCTTTCTGTTTCCAATATTCTGTGAAGAGAGATCATTCCCAACATATTTTTCCACAGAGGCAAAACTATTTCAAATTGTTTAAACTTGTCAGTCTTGTTTTCTTTCGATGATGGTGATAACTAACACTTAGTAAAAGCTTTCTACGACAAATATGTTACACAGATTATCTTAACATTCAAAACAACCCTGTGAGGAAGATAATACTCTACCCTTATTTTACATATAACTACTCTACCCCTATTTTACATATAACTACTCTACCCTTATTTTACATATAAATAAGATGGGTTGAGTAACCCCATGAAGATCACAGAGTTAATACTGAGATGTTGGAGCTGAAACCCAAGTACCATGACTCCAGAATTCATGCTCTTCATCACTATACTTTGCTGCATATATAGCATACACCATTATAGTTTCTGCTTTTCAAGCTGTGGAATGTAATTCTACTGTTAAATTTAACTTGTCCTTATACTAGGAGGCTAGATATTTGTCCTTTTTATTATTTACTGTCAAAAGCAACTTCAGGGTGGCTGAAAAGAGATCCACCTGAAAGTGTCTGTGTGACAGAATGGCTCTGATTGAAATGGCTCTGATTTGAACTTCTACAAATCCAATAGATTTCTATAAACGGCACAATATAGTTATAGAGTATACTCTGAAGCTTCTGAACTAAAATAATTAATTTTTACTTAATACTCATATCACTTAAACCCTTCAATTTTGCAGGAATGCCCTACTTTTTCTGATCAAATATTCAGTATTATACTGAGTCATTTATTTCTGTGGCTCAGATTTGCTAAATACATAAATATTGTCTTGTTTGCAACTTTATTTCATTGGAGGTATGATGAAAAATGATTTTATTTGTAATTAGGCAGGCTCAGCCTTAGTATAAACTCCAGGTCTTCTTTTCCCACGTTGCCTAAAGTAATGATTTTCAACTTCGGCAAAGTTGTAGCAGTCCTTCTCTTCCTCCTCCTCCATCCCCTCTTCCTCCTCCTCCTTCTCCTCCTGCTCCTCCTCCTTGTATAAATGACATATGATATTACTAATTCTAACATCACAGTGGATTAAAACCAGTCTTCTTTTTGGGATAATTTCATTATATACTCAAGACAATTGTCCATACCTGGGAAACTAGTTGCCTGACGAAGAATTCATTAATGACAATACTATCTTGATTTTGTTTGCTGAAATAGCTGTGTTTTTGAGAGTTAGCAAATCATATGAAATGTAAATT